TGTGTTTGGGGCATTTTGACAAGGTTTAGAGGTGTTTACGGCCTAAGCATGTGCTTGGGCCGTAAACTCTCTTTTATGCCCTAAAATCCTATGTTTTGATGATTAAACACTCCTAGACAAATTCCTTAATTGGTTCCTAGGCTCAATGGGACAAGTTCGGGTCATTTTGGCCACATTTAAGGGGTTTACGGCCCTAGAGTGTTCCTGGGCCGTAAAATCCTCTTTGACAGCTTATATGGTCGAATTTTGGGGTATAATCACAAGTCATAATGTTTAGAACAAGCTAGGGTAAGCGGACTTACGATTTGGAAGCGTTCGGTTGCAGATTCGGGTTAAAAACGAGTCTAGAGAGAGAGAGTATAGAGAGAGAGAGAGGGTGGAAAAGGCTCAAATGGAGTTTAATCCCCCTTATATATGGGTGGGAGTTGGAGCTCAGTAGAATTCTACCCGATACTGCCGTTATACGGGGCTTTTGGTCGCACCCGATTTAGTGGTCGTAATAATAAAAACTAACTTTTCCAACTAAATGGAAATGTGTGTTATGTGTTTTTATTTCCTTTTATCACGACTTAACGGTTTATATAAATGAAATATTTATTTAATTGGCGACCTCTAAATAACGGAACTTTTATACAGTGGAATATTCCGTTAACGGTAACGGGGTAATGTAACGGGAATAACTTTGGGTTGTCACATCATCCCCCCGTCAGATGGAATTTCGTCCCGAAATTCAGGTCTAGGCAAGGAAGTAGGTATGAATGGCCAAGTAGAGGTAAGAGAGTACTTCCTATACGGTTTGTGCTCGCATTCCTAAGTGAACTCTGGTTAAGCACTTTCTCTATTAAGTGCTTAATACACGATTCCTTGACGTCCAAAAGTCAGATCTAAGCTTGTTAAGATGTCCTAAGGCATAAAGTTGGCAACTTTATGCCTTTGCATGCCATATATGCACCCAACACCCCCATTAAGACCTTTTCAAGGTTCTTAAACCATGCATGAGGTCCAAAATCCCACCAAAACTCCATTTTTATGTCACTAAAGGACCAAGGGACCTCAAATTTGTCATTCCCATCTTCTGGAGTTGCTAAACTCACAAATGGAGGTCCAAAATCCACAAAATGAACAAAGCTAGAAAACCCTAGCTGGATCTATAGATTTAAGTGGAAAGGTGCAAATTTTTTACCTCCAGGAGCTTTGCAAGATGACCAATATGCAGATTTTTAAAGCACCAACTTGTACCAAGCTTGCTTAGCAACTCCTCCTTCTTGAAAGAACTCTAAAATGGCCACAAAACCCACTCCTTGGTCTCTAAAACCCTTACACACAATATCACAGTTGAAAGTGGACAAAATGAGGCTAAAGAGACTGATAGGGTTTGGTTCAAGAGGCTAAAAGATGTTTAAATAGGGGACATATCTGAGATTTAGGGTTTGCACCCTCGGCACGTACGCCCAGCGTACCTCTGGTACGCCCAACGTACGTCCAACTCCTCCGCGACCAACCATGCAGAGTATGCCCAACGTACTCACGAGTATGCCCAATGTACTGAAGTGAACATTTAAATATATTTAACAATGTAACTTCTTTGAGGGTTTCGAGTCAAACCTGGATCAGGGTGTTACATAACAACACTCATTTTATGCATAATTCATCATATATCCTTAGAAATCTTTCTTAACCTCAATGTATTTTTTTGTTATGCTCCAAAACATACATATGAAAAAATAATCTAAAAAGAAAAAATTGCAATAAAAATAACTTGGCAAATTGTCTTATTCTTGAGTCTTCAACAATTTGAAACCTTTGAACTTTTCTTCATGATATTTCTTAATCTTCATAACTTTGTATACTCTTATTCGCTCAAACCTTGCAACTTTATTTATTTATTTATTTTTATTTTTTTTCTAATTTCACAACTTTTTCACTTTTTTTTTTCTTTTCTCATTTTTTTTCACTCAAAACTAAAATCCTAAAAATAAAAACATATGCTTAAGCAAGCAAACTTAACTTCATCCCTTATTGGTTGCGTTTCTAATACACGATGTTAAACATATTATGTCTCTCAAACTAAGCAATGTCGTGTTTTGTTCTATGATTTCACAAGGATAAGGAAGCCACTCATACATTATAACATATATTGGCTCAAATAAACATTGAAAATCACATCGAATCGTCCCACACAACACTAACGACCTAGATCTCAACATAACAATTTTTAACTAGGTTTAGTTTTAGATTATTGTTTCAAATCTTTCTAATAATTTTTTTAAGTCCTAGTCATTTTTCTTCCAATTTTTATCAGAATGCTTGTATTCCTATATTCAACCCATACTCCACCCTTAAATAATGGAATGTCCCCATTGCATACTAAAACAATTAAGAAACATAAATTTAAAAAGGAAGAACTGGAACAGACTCCCTTGGGGCTAGGTAGTAGCGGTGTAATCAAATTTTGGACATTACGTAATAATGGCTGTAAACGGTACTTTTGAGCCTTGTTCTCTCATGATTGTGAATGTAAATGTGCCAGATCAAAATGAACAAAAGACCCATCTTCAAAAAATGTGATGAACGTCAGCCATGACGTAGGAAAGCAACGCCACATTGTGGTTTTGAGGTAAAAGTTGTGATGATTGCGAAAAATAAGAACACCACGTCATGATTTAAAGATGCCACGATGTGTGTATAGAGCTGATGAAATTCAATCGCGATAAAAACAAACGTCACGATGTGGTGATGATGGCCACGTCGTGGTGACTTCTCAAAACGCCAATTAGATCCAAAATTATTCATTTTATAGTTAATGGCTTAGGATCATTCCCAACATCTTCTTTCGAAAAATATAGTTCAAAACTCTTCTCTTCACCAGGTGGGAACCCCAAACTTATTCAAAAATATGGTCTTTAATTTTAATCTTCAAAGAAAAATTGCACAACTTTTCCAATTAAGCTCATTCGCTAATTTAAAGATGTCGCGATGTGTGTATAAAGCTGATGAAATTCAATCGCGATAAAAACAAACGTCACAATGTGGTGATGATGGCCACGTCGTGGTGACTTCTCAGAACGCCAATTAGATCCAAAATTATTCATTTAATAGTTAATGGCTTAGGATCATTCCCAACATCTTCTTTCGAAAAATATAGTCAAAACTCTTCTCTTCATCAGGTGGGAACCCCAAACTTATTCAAAAATATGGTCTTTAATTATAATATTCAAAGAAAAATTGCACAACTTTTCTAATTAAACTCATTCACTTATTCACTTTTGTTCAACATTACAAAATAAGATCAAAGACTAGAGAAACACATCATCATTCGGTTAAACTAAAACTAAAACAAAAAACGAAAAACTAAAGATAAAAAGAAAATGCAAACTCAGTAAAAACATCGGGTTGCCTCCCGAGAAACGCTTTTTTTTGAGGAGTCGTTAGATGGACTCCTTTCCATCTATGTTACTTCAGGTGGAAGTGTAAATTCCCCATTCTCCATCATTTTGAGTCTTGTTCGTTTGTACGTAACCCTTTAATTGCATGCATTTTTTGAGTTTTCTTTCATTGTTGGGTTGACATCTTCTTTGTGCTTTCGCTTAAGTTCTTTCTTCATTCCCGTGTCTTTAGCTTTTTCCTTGTATCTCTCCAGATTTTTCTTATCAAAATTGGACTCATCATTCTCTTCTTCTTTTTCTTCGATCGACTTTGTGACTTGATCTGGTGTGTAAAAGCAAACACCTCAAAAAATCATAGGTGTTGAAACCGGAGGTTTCGAATAATTCATTTCTTTTTCCAAATTCTCTTCAAGTTCTTTATGCTCCATTGCTCCATGAAATTTTTGTTTCCCTACTTCACCAGATTTTGCTTGGTACGAGATAGGAAAGGGAGAGGGGGTCGATATGGCTTAATGATAGAAAAATCATAATAATTTGTTATCACCCACGACGTGGCACCAATAGTGCCACGTCGTGGCTACTGAGCAGAGTCACACTTTATATTTTCTTTTTCTTTGGGCGACAAATTGGATTGCTTCTCTATTGAGTCAAGGACCCCCATATGCTCTAATTCCTCTTCTTCTTCTTCTTCTTCTTCTTCTTCTTCTTCTTCTTTATAAACAACCATGAATCGAGAGATTTGGATTGGTTCAGTTTTTCTGGAAGGTGAATATGATAGCTTTTCTTGTACAAGCTTTGTTAATTGCCCGACTTGTGTGCAAATGCTTAAGATAGATGCTTGTTGCTCTCTAAGTGTTGCATCTGTAGCGTTATGTCGTTTTTCGCTAGCATCCATAAATCTAAATTTGAGAGTGTTTTTGGTGATTTTGAAGGAAAAACAACGCTGGGAAGTTGCATTGGTGTGGTTGGAGCTTGTGGATCCAGAATCATCATTAACTTGGAAAGCTTTTGGAGGTATAAGCTCTTAACTTGACGGTTCATTATGATAGATCAAGTTAGGGCTTGTTTTTGTATATTTTATGGCCCCTTAAGTCATGCTTGAGAGTATGAGCTACTCCATAAGCTAGAGATGGTAGATATTAGCATTTTGAGGTTCCTTGTGCATAAAAATGCAATTTTGATGTGTTATATTGGACCATGCATGAGTAAAGGCTCTTATTATCGGTTTTAATGGTCAAAAACAAATGAACTAGATACCCTGGGTGTTACACAAATGAACTAGATACCCAATCTGGGATTCAAAAGCAAATATTTTCTCAGAGTGAACTTGTTCTAATTAGTAGAGACCACACTTAAGTTGTTGAATTTATTTTGCATCTCGATCTCTCTTGTATTCCAGTTCACAGTCCTTAGTAGAATGTGGTCATTCATAAGCTCCGCATTTATCTTGAATTGATCCACTCATTTTTGTAATATTTTCTTCCATTGTGTCGAGCCTTGCGATTACTATCATCTTGACCTCCATCTTTACTTGATTTTCCTTTAGTGAAATCCTCTTTTGAGTTATGATACTCTTTTGAATGGTTAACGAATTCTTCGCTCAAAGCTTTATTTGTTATTGATAACTAATTTATTTTGGAAGTTCTCTAAAAAAAAAAAAAAGTATTTAATATTTATTTTTTTATCCATATTTATTTTATTATTTTAGCTTTGTAAATATATAGCGGAGGTTCTTTTCCCTATTAATGGCACTTTCGGCTGTAGCAGCTGCCGTTACCACCACCAGTCGCCGCCCAATTCTATCAAAATCGTTATCAACTACTAGCCTCACTACCACCCTCACTCTACTCTTCATCAGAAAACACTCTCCTCATCACTCTCGGAAGCTGATAACAACAATGGCGGCTTCTTCAACGCTTACACCGGAGCAAAAAATCACCGCACCATACGGTTCATGGTCCTCTCCCATCACCTCAGACGTCGTATCAGGAGCCTCCAAGGGTCTGGGAGGCACAGCCGTCGACTCTCAGGGCCGATTGTTCTGGCTTGAATCACGACCTTCGGAATCAGGGTAAGTGTATAGCTTTATCAATTAATTAATCGTTGACTTCCTCTCCGAAGCCCTAACTGTTGTATTATTGTTCATACTTTCAGACGATTGGTTATAGTTAAAGGGGGAAATGATGAAAATGAAGAAACCATTGATGTAACACCCAAGGAGTTCTCAGTGCGTACAGTTGCTCAAGAATATGGTGGAGGTGATTTTTCAATTTCAGGAGGCACTCTAGTTTTCTCCAATCACAAAGACCAGAGACTTTACAAACAGTCTCTAGATTCAAAAGGTTCGACCTCATGATAATCACATCAGATGGATTAGCATCCATGCTTTTCAAATTACCTTATAATCATATACCTAACATCTTGTTTTATGCCTGTAGATTCTGCACCTGTGCCACTTACCCCTGATTATGGTGGACCTCTAGTGAGCTATGCAGATGGAGTTTATGATACATCACTTAATCGATACATCAGTGTTATGGAAGGTACATTGTTGACTTCTTACATACTTTTCTTCAACAATTTATCTTCAATCACTGATCATGTCATATATAATCTTGTTAGATCGACGCGAAAGTAGCTTGGATGCAATCACAAGCATCGTGTCAATAGACCTCGGTGATAATGGTGTTAAAGGTACTGTTACAGACTTACAGAGTTACTCATTTAATTTTTCTCTCAATTCAGACATGGCGATAACTGATAAATAATGATCTTTTGATTGTTTCATATGGTGATATGTAGAACCAAAACTGTTAATCAGTGGAAATGATTTCTATGCGTTCCCTAGACTTGATCCTGAAGGAAAAAGATTGGCATGGATTGAATGGAGCCACCCTAACATGCCATGGGATAGATCTGAACTATGGGTTGGCTATATTTCAGACACTGGGTAAACATTAAACACACTGATTATTATTTATTTATTCATTTATTTTTATTTCATGCCAATATTCCTATTAATTAGTAATAGTTGGTTATATTTTGAGTGTTTGTTTCTATATCTCAATTTTGTTGCTTTGTGCAGAGATGTGTACAAACGAGTATGTGTTGCAGGGGGTGATTCTGCCATTATAGAATCTCCAACTGAACCAAAATGGTCTGATGAAGGTAATTAATTACACTTTTTATAAACTTTGATTTTATACATGTTAACACTAATTCAATTGCATTATGTATCTCTTATTACTGCAGGAGAATTGTTCTTTGTGACAGATAGAAAAACTGGTTTCTGGAATCTTCACAGATGGGTAATTTCAGAAATGTTTTATTTTTTTATTTATTTAATGAAATGTTTTTTTAGCATCTGTTTTCTGTAATTTATTATGTTACAATGTAACAGGTTGAATCTGATAACACAGTGGCACCAGTGTATTCACTAGAAGCTGAGTTTGCAAAACCTTTATGGGTTTTTGGCATGAACTCTTATGAAATTCTCAAGGAACATAAAAACTTAATTGCTTGTAGTTACAGGTATTTATTTATTTTAAGTAATTTGTTACTTAAACTTTTGCATCGCCTCATTTTGTTATATTTATTCCATTTCATGTTTTTGAATATTTAGGCAAAAAGGAAGATCATATCTTGGAGTTGTGGACAAGAATAAGAACACGTTATCCATTCTCCAGACTCCTTTCACAGATTTAATGAACATTGTAATCTGACTAATCTCAATACACTTTGTATTTTCTAGTTATCTATTTCCTTATTTTATGTTTTTATTAATTAAAAAATATTTTATGTAGACTTCAGGTGTACGTTGTCTGTATGTTGAAGGGGCATCTGGAGTTCATCCTTTATCTATAGCTAAGGTGCTTTTTTTTTTTTTTACTTTAATATCTAACACTTTTGTATATTTTGTCTTTATTCAAAATTATTCGTGACTTAATTGTAGGTGACTTTAGATGACGTGGCATCAAATGTGGTTGACTTCAAGATTGTTTGGTCTTCTTCACCTACTAGTTCACAATACAAATCTTACTTTAGCTCCCCAGAGTTTATTGAATTTCCAACAGAAGTCCCTGGAGAAAATGCGTATGCATACTATTACCCCCCAACAAATCCGAATTATCAATCCAGTCAAGAAGAGAAACCTCCATTGTTGTTAAAAAGCCATGGTAATCATTTTAATATACACAGAAAAATCAAATCTGCAACTTTTATATTTTACATTTTTTATGGATAATAAAAACAGGGGGACCCACTGCTGAGACACGTGGCATCTTGAGTCTTGTAGTCCAGTTTTGGACTAGTCGTGGTTGGGCTTTTGTGGATGTGAATTACGGTGGAAGTACTGGTATGTAAATATAAACCAAGGGTAAAATCGTCTTTTGTTTTTTTGTAAAAGTCAAATCTGTAATTAAGTAGACATACCCATCTTGAATAATAGGTTTAAGGGACCAAATCTGTAATTATAGACATACTATAGGGACGATTTCTGACATTTGCTATATTTGAAATTCTTCTACATTATGTGTTGAAGGGTATGGTCGGGAATTTCGTGAAAGGCTTTTGAAACGATGGGGTATAGTCGATGTCAATGATTGTTGCAGCTGTGCTCAGTTCTTGGTATTTTACATTTTTACCCCTCATACAGTTTCCACATAATTATTTTATTATGATACATTTAATTGTTTTTTTTTTTTTAAAATTATAGGTGGATAGTGGAAAAGCAGATGCTGGAAGACTATGCATAACTGGAGGCTCTGCTGGTGGTTACACAACTCTGGCTGCACTTGCATTCAAGAAAACATTCAAAGCTGGTGCTTCTTTATATGGTGTAAGTGGTCAACGTTTGACCAAATACATATTTTATAATTTTAATGAAAGTGTTTGAGTATGAGTCAAATATCTAAAATATGTGAACAGGTGGCTGATTTGAAGTTGTTGAAAGAAGAAACTCACAAATTTGAGTCTCGATACATGGATAATCTTGTTGGTAAACTAAATATTATATATTTATTTTTATTAAACTTGAGTAAATAAATAAATTATCTAGTGTTAGTTAATTAAATGTTTAATTTGCAACAGGGGGTGAAAAAGAGTTCTTTGAGAGGTCACCTATCAATTTTGTGGATCAATTTTCTTGCCCTATAATTCTGTTTCAGGGATTAGAAGACAAGGTTTGTGTTTTTACTTTTTAAATTAATAAATAAATTACTTTGAAATGATTATAAGTATTTTTTAATATAAATTGTTGGGCAGGTTGTGCCACCTGATCAAGCAAGAAAAATATATAAAGCTTTGAAAGCAAAAGGATTGCCTGTTGCTTTAGTGGAATATGAAGGGGAGCAACATGGTTTTCGTAAGGTTAGAGATAAGTAAATGGTTTTTATTTTTAATATTTGGTTTATTTTTTTAGGTGAAAAGAAATTTTATTGATTTGATTTGTGATATGTGATATGCAGGCTGAAAATATCAAATTTACACTTGAACAACAAATGGTGTTTTTTGCACGTTTGGTGGGAGGATTTAAGGTGGCTGATGAAATTGTTCCCATCAAAATTGATAACTTTGACTAAAGGTTTGTTTTTCACTTCTTTCTCTGTACAAAATATATGCAACATTTGATTAGAGAAATGGTTGAATGCAATTTACTTATTTTGAGTATTGGTGAGATCTTACTACAAAATTGGAAAATCTTATGAACGAAAAATAATATACTCTCAATATGTTCTTTTTATTTCATTATAACACAACTCCTTTTGCTTTCACTTTTCAGACTTCAACACTTCAGTTCTCAAGACTCATGTCAACCATGGCGCACAGAAAACCCTCCATGTCATCAACTTTATTTTAGAGGATTTTCAGAGTGTTTAAATGTAAAATTGAGTGTCCACCTTTTATTGTGCTTCTGTTTGATTTCAATGTCAGAGGTTGCTGTAGCCTGTAAGTTACAATCATACAGATTATGCATTGTATATAAATAAGCTGGACTTTTTTTTCCCTAAATATATCAGTAAATCTGATATGTAGGCCAAGTTTGTAGCTTTTATAACATCTGATATGTAGGTAATGTGTCCACGTGACACTCGATTGAAAAAACAAAAAAATCTATTTAAATTATATGCACACAACATATGGGAACAAACACCTACACATACACGTGTTCTAGAATTAGTATTCCTATAATTATAATCATTCATATCCAAGATATTACACTAATGAAAAAATTAAAGTAAATCCTGGAAAAGTAGCCCATATGATTATCGGGCTATTATAGTAAACATCTTTTGAGTGGATTGGAAAAACTGCCCGCACCCGATCCAGTTAATCCAAAGCCCAATAAAACCCGTCCAAACAACACCAAAACAAAATTTGAAAGAATCCCATTATCATTATCATTAATGACATAATAATTCGTTCTCATAACATAAAACAAAGAGAATCGAAACTACTTGTATCATCACTAATTTACTCACAAAGATATGGTTAGCTAGAAAGTAATTAATATGAACATAAAAACGAAAAAGCAACCTGAATCAAGAACAAGAAGTTGATCAAAGCTCAAACTCCTCCCTTAGAGCCACCTCTGCTGCAGCCTCCTCTTCGTCTTCAATGAGAAAGTACTGGTTGGATGCAATTGGCCTGAACATGTAAAACATAACTATATAGAACCCAAGACTCGCTAATTCTTCAGCCCCATTAGCCACCCATTGGTAGTTATAATCTGCGATAGTCTTCAGAGCAAAAACAATGATTCTTGTGAAATACAAGTACCCAATAACCAGAACATAGAACTGTCTGAAAAGGGTTAACTTTGCAAGAGTCCTAGCAGCCTTCCCATCTGTTTTAGAGGTCTCCCTCAATGATCTGATTGACCAGACTATGGGGAAGATAATGGCGCAACAACAGATCACATCAACCAACAAGAACACCTGGTTCCAAGTTACCCAATCTCTGATAAAGGGCCCTGTTTCGCCTATTACTATGGATGCTACATTGGCTAAAACCTGGAGTGGGATCACAATCATCAAGATCTTCTTTTCTTTTTCTTGCAGAAATGGTTTCAGAAACGACCATCCAGTGCCGATTAATACGATTACAGTGAACAATAGCACAACCCTAATGGCTTGAAATATGTAGAACAACACATCCCATCCATGGGGAGTCCCTGTGACTTTTACAAAATGTTCATCCTCTGCCGCACAGATCAAATTGAGGGCTTTCATGAGAAGCAAAACGCACATTAGCAGATGAATCCGGTGAACAGATAGCTTGTTTTTTACGCATTCAATGATCCAAAACCCTAGGAATGCCATGTATGAGAGGGAAAAAATGGTGTATAGAAACGGAAGCTGAGTTAATCCGGCGGATAAGTAATCCCTTTTGTCGCCGTCGGTGTTGTATAGCTCGGTACGGACGTCCATTGAGACGATCGATTCAGGATTGCAATTGGCGAAGAAGAGGGAGTATTCATTCGGGTAGTTGACAGGGTACGATTTGTTGAAGGAGGGATGAGGCGGAGGGGAGAGATCGCGGAATGTGAAGAGTAGCGAAATGAATTTGGAATCAACAACGCAGAAATTAGGGTTTTGTTGGAATTCGATGAGGACTTGAATCAATGATTCTTCGGTGAGGAGGAAGAAACCGAGGCGGGAGGCGTCGATTTGGGAGATGCTGGAGGTGACGGAGACAGAAGAAATCTCAACGGAGGCAACGCCATGGCGTGTGAAACCGAACTTCTCAAAGAGGATCATTGGACGGTCGTCTGATCGTATCTTTAACGATTTGATCTCCGCGTTGGACGTAGAGGTGAATATAAAGAGTAAAATGAGGATAACGGCGAACGTTGTCGGTAAGTTCGTCATTTTGAGAATTACGGTGGTGGTAGACGGCGGTGGAAGGTGGTGGCTAAAGAAGGAAATAGGTTGCTTTGAGATTTATGGTTCGGAGATTTTTATGCCAAAAAATACAGGCGGGGAAGCCATGCAGAAGATGAACCGTGTATTACGATATTTATCTTTTTTGTTATATATAATATATTGACAAAGTACATGATCGGTCCTTGTGGTTTGCAAATTAATCAGTTGAGTACAAATCCGTACGTGTTTGTCTATGTGGCTTTCCGGTTGTTTGTGTGCTTGCTCATTTTGTCTAACTCCATTAGACTCGAGGGAGTCATTGTTCTACCGTAGTTTTGTCACAGTGTCAAAAAGAAACACCGCCTCCAGTGTGCGGTTTGGCTGCACATGGCTCTCTCTCTCTCTCTCTCTCTCTCTCTCTCTCTCTCTTACACACACACATCTAGTGTGTACCAAATACCCACACTTTTTGTGGTAAAGTTGACATGGAGCCAATGTTGCGTTTACATGATATAGGTGGGAGTATGATTTTTGTGGTACCACTTCCTCCAACCTTAAACCCAACGGAGTGGGTGCGGTAGAACCGTGGATTTGCCATGGTGGTGCTGAGGAACACCGCCCACACCGTGCGGTTTGAGCACAGTTTGACCGCACGCAGTAATCTCTCCCCCTACCCCTCTCTCTCTCTCTCTCTCTCGGCTTGAATGGTCAAATATCGATATATATATATATATATATATATATATATATATATATATATATATAATATATATAACCACACAATCCTTATTTATTTATTTATCTATTTTGAGGACTATTGAGCTACTCGACGAGTCGGTGCTCCAACTCGTCGAGTAGAGTCGCAATGTGTCACGTGAGATTAATGACATACTCGACGAGTCTGAGAGCCGACTCGCCGAGTAGATGCTGGGATGAGAAACCCTAAATCCCTGGGTTTGGGGTCTCTTTAAAGGCACTTATAGCCTCATTTGCGGCTATGCTTCCCTGAGAGAAACCCTAATCGCCCTTTGAGCTTATATATATATATATATATATATATATATATATATATATATATATATATATATATATATATATATATATATATATATATATATATATATATATATAGAGAGAGAGAGAGAGAGAGAGAGAGAGATATAGAGAGAGAGAGAGTGTGTGTGTGAGCTAACTTTGAGTATTTTGGTGTATCTTTAGAAGAGAAGAGAATGATTTCAAGCAAGGAGCAAGAGGAGGCTATTAGATCTGTTGTTATTCATCCAAGAGCTCCTGTTAGAGGTATAAAGTTCGAACCTTTCACATTTTTTTTTGGATATATCTCATATTTTTGGAGATTAGGGCTTCTTTTCTATATATTATTGGGCTTTGAGGGTATTGAGTTCATATGAAAGTTTGGACTTCAGGTCTAGACCTTGTGAGGTCCCTAGCATCCAAAGGTCCCTGCTTTATTCAGCCTTAACGGAACTCTTGAGTGAAAAACCCTTATTTGAACTTGTTCTTGGCATTTCAAGCTCAAAGTGCCATGCATGGACGTAAAGTCTGTGACTTTACGTGATAATTGAGCCTTGAGAGTGTAGATCCAGAGTTTGGGAAGGTTTTCTGCCTTAAAATCGTCTGGTTGGGGCAATAGTCTGAATGGACTCGCCGAGTCGAGGAGCCGACTCGATGATTCGGTTAAGGTTTGTCCCGATGAGCTCTCGATGCTATTACTCGACGAGTTAGGGGTTAACTCGATGAGTTGGACCATCACAAGGACCTCTGAGTAACGACTGGACTCGACGAGTCACATGAGTGCACTCGGCGAGTCGGGTCAAACTGGGACTGTTGACTCGAGTTGACTTTTGTTGACTTTAGGGTTTGGCTAACATAGTTAATGGAGACCGTGGAGGGGTAAAATAGTCTTTTACCCATTCCAAGAGTTAGAGAGGGAATAAGAGAAACTTTTGGGTGTATTTGAGTAAGAGTGGGGCATTGATTAGAGATGCTTATCTAATGTGTTAGGCGGAGGCTAGTTCGGGATTTCCGAGTACGTGTCTGTTACTTGCTAGCTTACGAGGTGAGTCTTCTCACTATACTTACCAAGAGTGGTATCTTTATGTGATTGAGCTGTTTTATGTGTTTATCTGTGTATTGTAATATTTTGCATTATGTTTATGTGATTTATGTTGAATATTGTTACTATAAGTTTATTGAGTTAGGATCGGAAGGTTCCACTGAGACACAGACCAGAGGGTCTTATTAAGTTATGGCCTAGAGTGGCTAATGAGTTGTGTATGGTATTTTTAGGAGCTTACTAAGCTTT